TCTTCAGTCCTGCTTATTTGTCAGTTGGGAGGCATGGGGGCCTCTTGATTCCAGCAGCTACCAAACATCTTGCTGCTTCTAGTGCTAGCACACCAGTCTGGCCTCGTGTGTCAAGAATACACCTGTACAGCTGGCACCTACACTTGGCTGTTGTGAAGGCAGTGGTGTATCTCATGCAATTCTGTTAGGCCTCAGATCATACAGCAAGGGAGAACCAGGCTGTGCTTCAGCTGGAAAATGTGTTGCTTGGCACAGACTTGAGTAACATCTCTACTAAATAAATAAAATGTACTGAGCCAAGGTCTGTTTACCTGCTTGAGGCCAACTGGCACAGTTCAGTTTGTCGTATAGCTTACCTTATATTTCCCCCAAAAGAGAGTATCTGCATCTAGTCTGCCTACCTGAAATGGTCCCTAGCCTGTATTGAGCCCTGAGAAGGTCTGGGATATGATCTGGGAGAGTGCTAGCTGGCACAGTTCTAACTGATTTAGACTGACAGTGGACTGGTTTTTTCACCCTTTTAGCTTACTAATACAGATGCAGCCTGCAAGCATTTGCTCCTCATAAAGATTTATTGAATCATATTGAACTCCACTTCAGTAGCATTCCCCTGCATGTGACCCATGAATACTCCTTGTTTGTGACAAGCTCCAGCCTTTTGCTTTCCCCAGAGAAGATGCTATCGTTGCTTGATGCAAGTCTGATCTGACCAGGAAGTGAGTCAAGAGACAATTAGATGTTATTAGCTATCCTTTGGACATTTGACTCTGTAGATGGAGGGGAAACTAGGCAAGTGGCAACAGTGTGTGGCTCACAGTGGATAAACTGTCTTTGTAATCTCTTGCACATCTTCCAAGATGCGAACAATAGGAGAACAAACACTTCACAGCCCCTTTGAGGGGGTTAGGAGGGTTGTCCCCTGAAGGACTACTCTGTGAATGAGCATTCACTTATTGTTGTTCTTTACTGTAATTATTCAATAAATGGATTATCCTTATAATAGACTCCAGGAAAACACTGAGCTGAATGCAGATTTACTGGTTACCAGTTTGTGTCTTCAGCACAGTATTTAAGTACTTTGCAAGTGTTAATGCATTTAATGTGGCAATGATCTGGGGAAATAAAGTGACATCCAGATCTGCCTTTACTTTCTGTTTGTTGGTTTTAACTTGTATCAGGCACATACAGTGACACAGCAATCTGATCTTTCTTTTCCTTTGAAACTGGTATTAATGCTTTGAAGAAAAAACAGAATTTTAGTAATTCCTGTATTAAATTCAAATGTCAACAAAATACA